TTAAGGGAGAGACGTCCGCACAAAGAGTGATAAAAAAATAAAATAAAAATGTGGAAATCAAATACCTTGATTAAGCCCCGAACGCTTGTTTTAGAGGATTGGACTTTTGATAAAAGGTTGGTAACTTGGTTGATTCCTAGAAGTTGAAGCAGTCAAAAATAAGGAGAGTCCTCATTTGTTGATATGTTGAACTGTAATCAGTGAAATCTAACCAAACTTGAGCGGTGTAAGATATTAGTATTGAAAAGTAATTTTAGAATCGACCTTGAGAAGTGAAAAGAGAAAAAGTTTGGGGGTGTGTGAATCCCACGAGCGAGGCAATGAAATATTTGACTTTTAAAGTGGGGAATTAGGTCAACTTATTATGGCACAGCCTTGCTCTTAACTCTCCACACACACACCCGTTTGCATCGATTAGGCTGGAATTTGACTTACACATTATAGTTTTGAAGAAATTTTGCAGTCGACGCTATGTTTTTAATCTTGAGCCATGAAGGCAAGGCATCTAATGAAATTTATTCTTAAGTGATCGTGCATGATTTTAATTGTGCTTGTGTGTTTGTCAATGATTTTCTTTGGTTTAGTATTTGCTCGAGGACTAGTAAAATCTTAAGTTTGGGGGTGTTTGATGAGTGAATTTCACTCATTGATTTAATGTCTCTTAAGCTTGAAATATTTGGTTGTTTTCGAGAAATGTAGAACGTTTTCATGCGGGTATTCGTGTTGTTTTATAGGTAAACCAATTTGATGAAATGGTGAGTTTGAAGCGTGGAAAAGAGTCAAAGTTATATAGAAATGAATGGACAAGAAGAAGCATCAAGATGCACATGAAAGACAATGGAAGAAAGAATGAAGAAAACCAACTATAAAAAAAAATCCCTTAACACAGCGCCTAGGCGCCACAAATCCACACAAGGAAGCAGAAGTGCAGCACCTAGGCGCCACAGTGCAGCGCCTGAAACCAAGCAGAAACGTAGTGCCTAGGCGCCACTTTTGGCACTGCATGCCGAGAAAGGAAAAACACGATTTTTTCAAATATTTTTGACCCGGCTCAACTCCA